GAAACGCACGGACGACAGCGGGGAAGAAGGGCAAGGCGACTGTCTCTGAAATCGTCTACAGACGAGGCCAGGGGCTAGATGGTCTCTGGCGCGGATGGAAGGTAAGCTGGTGGGGACTTGTAGGTCTCTGGTCAGCCGGTGTCCTCGGCGGTGGAGGTGACGGTGAATTTTAGAAAGCGAGAGAGTGGTTGGTGCGTTCTTGTATAAGGTAATCTGGCCTCCCGAACCAGCTGTTATTCCTCTTCTTGTACCGGTTTCTTGGGCGTTCTCGGCAGGCGGGGGCGGAAGTGTTGACCGGACTAAGTGATTCCCCGCTCATGAACTGGAATGATATCCCCTGACTCTCGCTGTCGACCTATTCGGAATGGGGAGTGGGTCGATGTGCGCAGAGCCGCTGATAGATGGTATATAGAAATGTAAAATGGGCGATCGACGAGTTAACTGTTGCGGATTAGTCCCCTTCGTTCAGCCACGTGGTGGAAGAGATGAGTTTGAGTATCTGTAGGAACGATAATGGCCCTGCGCCAAAAGGAACAAGGCGTCGTCCAAGTTGAAGAGACATCGGATGGGCCGCTCTCTGCCGTCCCTCTTGGAGGAGAGGCGTGTTGAGGATGTGACAACGTGTAGGTTGCTTCAGATCGGGGATTCAAGAAAAAAATCATCTCCCTTCTCGCACAACACTCACAGTGGTCGAGACAACCACAACCTATTAGTCCGGAGTATTATCTCACACTTTCTTACACTTTTAACCGACCTCCTCAAATATCAATTTAGCAGGTGTCCATGCATTCCCAACAGGCCTTCGTACCTATGTTCTCAACACCACTAGCCTGAGATGTCCGGGATAAAGGCGATCGGGCCCCCTTTTGATACCTCGTTATATTTGTACAGTCTTTTTTAATCCACTATCTACCTCTGTTATAAATGGGCAAGCTCAATTTTCCGTCTTACTTTCAAGGACAAGTAAGGTAGTCACGGGCGTCAATTGAGCGTAAGGTGAACAAGACAGGATTATCCGGATCCTCCTATTGCCCGTCCACCCGCCTTGGCAGTTTTTGGGAAGTGGGAAGTCATTTAGGATTGGATTCTTTCAGTTTTTGCTGCATACCTGGGTACCTGAGTAGGGAGAAGATTGACATAGTTCTGATTTATATCGGGTGTGCTGGTGCTTATATGACTCTTAAGCTTGTCAGACTTCTGAAGATAATCCCTCATGAGATGCCGCTTGCGTTCCCCAGCACAGTCTGGTCGAAGGGCAGAACTGATTTCGCACGGGAACTGCTATGTTCTCAAGCGGGAAGAAGGTCCTCCTCTGTCGAAAGGTGTGGGGCCTATAGTTATGGTTGTCTGGTAATATACCTTACCTGTATGACAGAGGTTTTACTACCATTCGTTGGAGTGTAGAACTGCCTCTCGCACGGCGTTAAATGTCCCTACAATACCTTTAACCGAATCAGATATCTGAAATCGTGCGGCGTCCGGATAGGCGTTTAATAGGTACCTGTCAAATTTCTTGGGAGTCTGGTTCCTAAAAGGTCTCAACAGGAGGCTCATGAGAAAAAACACGAGCATGACCGCTTGGTCACACCCTCTCCCAGTATCCCCATCATATCTCGATTTCTGGGGTGTTGCTTTGCATTGGTGGCGCATGGAGCTCTAGCGGTGCTTCATTCCAATACCGATTATACCTGAAAATGCTGGCCCGCGTACGAGTGCGACACCCTCGCTGCTTGGGCTTCTTCTCTATCCTGTCCAGGGCTCACAAAGCATGGCAAACACACTCCTTCCATCACATACAAACGCAAGGTCAGTGTATGAAGTCATCATATACATGAATTTATCGACACAACGAAAATATATACAGCCGAATCGGGATTTTTCTTCATGGGCATCCCTGCCCTTGCTCTTCCTCTGTCATCGGATCAGACTATCCGAGACCATCCTCCAAAAACATCTAGAATCAGCCCTTTGCCGGATCTCGGTGTCTCATTCCTTCTCTTTTGTCTCCAAAAAGACTTAGACGCACTGGTGGTACCAGTCGTTGATGCGGCTGCAGGTCGAGCCGGAAGCGCAGACGGTCGGGCCAGTCCAGCCGTTGCCACCGCACTGTCCCCACTTGGACTGGGTAGGACCAGCGGCGGGAGCGGTGGAGGTGGTGCTGGGGCGCTGGGTGGTGATGGGAACGAGGGTGGTGGGAGGAGCCTGAGTGGTGCCGCCGGGGGTGGTGGTAGGAGGAGCCTGGGTAGGGCCAGCGCCGCCGGGGAGGGTGGCAGTTCCGGTCGAGGTGATGGCGAGGGTGCTCTGGGGAATCATGCTGGGAACACCAGCAATGAGAGCAGGGCCGGGAACGGGGTAGACGACGGGGCTCATGTAGGTGTTGAAGAGGATACCGGGGTCAGCGGCGCGGTAGAGCGAAGTACCGGGAGTGCCGGCGGGAGAGAGAGAGCCGGATCCGGTGACGCGGATGTTCATGCACTGGGGGTAGGCCTGAGCACCGTTGGGGTTCGGGCCGCCGTGGAGGGCGATGATCTCGTGGCGGAGGACATAGTTGCCCGGCTTGAGGTTTTGGGGGATCTGGATGAGCCAGGAGTTGCCGTTCTTGATGAGAGTCTGGGCCGCCCACTCGCCGTTCTGGTAACCGGCACCTCCGATCTTGAAGAAACGAAGGGAAGAGGGGTTGACGTTCTCGCAAGGCCCATTGCAGTCGGCAAGGTAGTCGATGACGGGTCCGACATGGCTAGCAGGCCACTCACTACAAAAATTGATGATTAGAAACGATGTTGTCTTGAGGGGGAGAACCGGGGCCGGGGCCGGTAAAGTGGGCCAAGTGGGGCCGGATCGGGAAACACTTACGGAGTCCAGACAATGTTGATCTTGCTGCCGGCGGCAACAGTAGCATGCCCAGCGCCGGGGCGGGCGCCCTTGTGGCAGATGATCTCGGAGGTGCCAAAGTTGTTGGGCTCAACGAAACCGTTGTCCTGGTTCAGCGCCGACCAGCCGAGAACCTTGGGCGCGTTGGCCGGGTTGTAAAAGTCGGAGGTCGGGTCGTAGTTGCGATAGTACACGCCATCAACAATGATGTGGCTGACGTGACCGTGGGCCGCGACGAGGGCGGCACCCGCAAGGGAGGCAAGCAGAGTAGAGGTCTTGGGAGACATGTTGACGGCTTGAGAATGATGATCACTGGACAAGAGACGGTCGTAGTGAGAAGTCGATGCTGCTGCTGCTGCTGCTGGAGAAGAAAAAGAAGACCATGATACCCGGCGGCGAGGAAGATCTTTATACGAATGTGACGGGACCATCCCACGTCCTCAGCTTGTACCACGACACCACCCCCGATCTCTGGTCGCCATCACCCGCCGAGGCAACCGACAATGATACCTCGAGCCCGATGTAACAGAGGGCGGAGAAGTCGATCTCAGGCTCAGACCTCTTCTCAGGCGTGATTTACACCAGTGGCTGTAAGATACCGAAAGGACCCGCCCTTTCGCTGCGAAGCCATGCCAATCTCCAAACTTTCAGCTGTATCGCTGTTTCCGGCGCGGTTCCGAGTTGCGGAGATGTGGGCCGGATGAAGGCCTGATGGCACCTCGTGGCGTGAAATTCGAGTGTCCGAGAACATGATGGACGGCCGTGGAGTCGAAGTTGCAACATCGAATCCGCTGCGGGGGAGCCGTGACGAAATTCTGGACGCGTGGGCCAAGAGACATCACGGTAGCATCTGCCCCGTGCTGTGATGGGCGCAGTGGGAATTGAAGGGATTTCGGGAGAACTCTCCGTCTTGATGCCTTGGTGTTGTCCATGGAGCAATCTTGGGGAGCCGCAAAGTCGGCAGTGCAGGGGGGGCGAGCAGGATTGCGATTGGGCGGGACTGCCCGACCGGTGCCACAGGGGCAATTGCGGTTTCCGGGAATGCATCCAGGAACTGTCGTCGCGGTCCATCGTGGCCCTTAATTCGGACGCTGCGGAGGCTCTTCCGCGCCGGGTTGGGAATGGTGCGCCGCTCAGCGCCGTTGAGGTCGCACTGCCGCTCAAGCACCCCGGGATCCCCGCAAACGTTTTTTGTGGGGGAGTGCAACGCCGTCACAGCGTCAATCCACCCACTCCAGCGCCACTGCAATTCAGCCAAATATCGCTAACCATGCTCGCCATGCGCATGACGAAGCGATCGCGACAAAGTCGTGATCGAAGCCATTAGCGAACTCGCCAGAACCAGGCGTGACGTCGAGAAGCGCGGGACTTTCATTTACTCGCGTCCCATAGCCAAGGTTCCTGCAATATCGACACCCGTTAGCTGATGTCTAAATCTGTCTAAATCCCAATACCGAAGTGCAGAGACGAGCGCGGCCCGGTAGTACTGCTGCTGTCGGTTTGACAGTTGATGAAGGAGGGTTGTCGGAAACCGCCAAGCATCATGCTGCGAAACCTGAAAAGGGGCTAACAAACACAAAAAAACTTGAATGCAGCGCCCCCAAAGTTTTTCCTCCGTCCCCCTCCTCCAAGACTCACTGCAAAATCTCTGATCACAGCCTCGACTCTTGCGGAATCTGGGCCGCACCGCCTAGTGCAAGGCAAGCATTTGCAAAGGGGCATTCCGATGCGACTAGGGAACCGGGAACGACAACCCGACGCTACACAGGAACCGCTGTCTCGGCGCGGCAGCCCACGTTGTTTACTTGCAACCTCGCGACATCTTGCCCCGTGATCCACACTGATTCTTTCCAAAATAGATCTTGCCTCGGTCCAGTTTGCATCAAATTCGCATCTGCGATGGGCGGTAGAGGCACAGGGAGGCGTCGGGGGTTGTCGCAATCCCGTGTGAAGAGGGCGCAAAAGCTCAAGAGCAGATCGGCAGCAAGCAGAAGATGAAAGTTGGGGCTGTAAGATCACAAGGGCTGAGAGTCTATTGCGAACCCCAACCCTGAAGATGCCTGTGCGGGTTGTGAAGCATCCCGCAAACCTCATAAGTCAAGATCTCGACCACCCAAACATCAACAAGCGGTCGAGTGGCGTAATGGTAGCGTGTGGTCCTCCTAAGAAGCTTCTTCTAAGCAGGAATCAGACTGAGGTTGTGGGTTCGAGTCCCATCTCGATCGAGCGCTTTCATTTTGCTTCATTTTGCTGCATGACTCGCAGTTCTGGAGCCCCTGAGGTCGATGACACAACCTCCAACACCCGAGCCGTACGAAAACCGCTGTTCCGAGAGGAGACAGTCTTCAGTTTTTGTCTCTCTTTTCCGACCCAAGTCTGCGATTGAGCACCTGAATGTTTCTTCCGCCAACCCCTGAATTTTCACCCGACCCCTGAATGCCCGAGCTGAAAACTCTCAACCTGAAAACTCCACCCGAGCGCCTCGGCAGACTCAGCCCCACACTCAACCCACCCAGCTTCTCCACACCTCATCCCCCTCCAGAAACTCCAAGTCCTCCTCACATAGCAGCAGCACCACCTCAATCTTCTCCTCCCTCCCTTCCCTCTTCCTAGGCAAAACCACCACCAACCCATCACTCTCAAACTCGGGCACCCTCATAAACACCGGCCTCCCCACCCTCTCTCCAAAATCACTCTCATACACACCCATATTCGCCCAACTCGTCACCGACAAATCCGCACCATTCGACCTCACCCAATTCGGCGCCACATCCCTCACATCCCCAACCTCCTCCATCATCGCAACTACCTCCGCTACATGCTCCCCCGTGACCCTCCTCGCCGCTTTATACATCCCTTCTATCACCGGCCCCAAATCTTCCAACGTTCCTGTAGATAAACACCTCCCCCCTATGCGTTCTAACTCTGTACAGGGTACCTCCACGAGTCCGAATAAATTCACATTTCCCAAGTACGGCTGCTGTGTTATGGTTCCAGTGAAAATTCCCCGTGCGTTGACCGCGAATCCCATCTTGGACGCTCCGTTTCCTAATACCGTGTTTCCTCGCCTAGCGGCGCGGGCGCGGACGATACATGCCCATATCACGGCGGTGAGGATGTTATTCACCGTCAACGCGGCAGGTTCTACCCCTTTGATACGAAGAACACCCTTTGCGTCCTCGATCTTGGACAGGGGAAACGTAAACAACTTTGCGTTTCCCTTTGGAGCGGAGGTGTCGACTTGTTGAGGTAGGGATGCCGCGGAGAGGAGGTAGAACTCCGGCAAGGAGGCGAGGCGGTCGGGGAGAGACTTTGTGGGGGCAGAAGGGAGGGCAGAGTGGATGAGTTGTCTGCGGAGGAGCGGTTCGTCGGGATGAGGGGATTGGAATTCGGGAGGAGAGATGCCGGATGTGCAGGATGCGAAGAAGCGGATGATTTCGGAGACGCCGGTGCCGTCTGATAGGCCGTGGTGGACGGCGATGCCGAGTACTACGGCCGTGTCGAGGGGGGTGTAGCTCGCTGCGAAGGCGGGGGCGCCGGGGTTGTTACCGGTGCGAGGCCGGAGGAGGGCGGGAAAGGTGTTGGCGAAGTAACGAAGGGGGGCGTTTTCGGACTTGAGTTGGTCATAGGACGGGGGGTTGGTTCCGAGGCTTGGGGTAGAGTGGAGGGAAAGAGGCGGGTCGGAGGGTGACCAAGTGATTGCCATCTGGCCTCGGGAGTCGTCGGAGGTAGACACGGAGCCCCTGAGAAAGGGGAGCTGGGAGCCGAGCTTCTCGACACCGGCTTGGAGGGCGTCGACGGCAGCTGACGTGTCCGGGGTGTGGAATACAAGGTAGAGGATCACGTAGATCCTGGGCATGTAGTTGTCCAAGGGGGAGAGAAGGACGGTGTGGGACCCGTCAGTGGTGCTGGTGGAAAACATGGCGAACCCGGCTAGCCTATCACTGCGTCTCTAGAGATCTAGATGCTGTACTGCAGAAAAACGAGAGAGAATACGTGACGCTGCGTGTGATGATAGTTCGGGTTCGAGGTAGCTGGACCTCAGACAAGTCAATACTTGTGATTATAAATACATGTTGCTTGTAAATAGCGAGACAAGCCGGGAGATGCCGTGTGCGTGGAATCGATCCCGCATGCGCCCACGCATGCAGGTCAGCCGCTTGACTCACGCCGATGCTGCCATCCGCTCCCGCCCCCAGTTCTCGAGTGCTTGGTAACGCCGTGAAAATGGCTTCGCACTTCCGGCTTGGAAATGACCGTCAGAGATATCTCACTCCCAGGATGCCAGAACACCGAGCAACTCCCTCGCAGCTTGGCACATCCGCTTGCAAACAACACTCCGCGTCATATTATTACAGGCCTCACGCCTTCTCGCTCCTCCTCTCTAACTGGGTATACTTCCAACACGTATCCATCATCGCATGCCGTAAAAGCCCCGCTCCCATGATAACCCCTAATATACAAATGTCATAAACATCACATATACAACGTCGGACATTTCGTAAGCCCCCGCAGGTCCGCTGCTGCGTTGTCTCCGGTGCGACTGCGACCGAAATTCATGAACCGCCGACAACCTGGATAGGCCCCCGCGACAGATGGGACTGTGTGAAAACTCGTGTCTCGTCTCGGTGACCGTTCGGCCCAGCTACGCAAATATGCGCCGTATGTAGCGCCTCGCTGGATCAGCGTCGGTTGATCGGTGGTAGAGATGGCCCCCCTATGCCGCCACGTCGTCATCAACGGGGCCCCGGGCTACCGGAGACAGAGCCGTTGGATATCTCCACGGATGATCGTTCTTCCGAGTCAGTTAGGCTTGTCATCTGGATCCCCTAGATCGTCGAATTGAGCCGTGTATAAGCCAGTTTATTACCGCCGGCATACTGCCTCCGGAGCCTCAGGCAGCCCCAGATCGCCGTGCTGATACTGCCAACCACCATCAGGAGGAACAGGAAGAGATGGTCCCCAATCCACAAGAACATGCGGTTGTCCCAGTTCACCCATGTGCCTCCGCGCTCTTGGGTAAAGTAGATGGACGGATCGGCGCCCTCTCTGTCGTCCATCATCAGGCGATACTGACGATGCTCGATCGCCGGGTTTTGGTCGACAGGCGGGAGGAGGGAGTGGTATTCCTGCCAGATGGCCGTGACGAACCATTGGCCACTCGCGTAGCTGATGGTCACGTACGGGAAGAACCAATCGTAGTTGTAGGGAATCAGCGACTGCGTGAGGCGGATCCAGTACGGATGGTGAGGGCTCGAAGCGAGGACGTTGTTGCTAAGGGCGCCACGGCCGGGATCGGTGATCCACATCGGGTAGTAAAGAAGAGGCGACAGATCGGTCTTGCAGCCCTACAAGTCGCAAATGTCAGTATCGCGTCCAGAGTTATTTGCCCAAAGGTACCCACGTTATCCAAGTCGAGGTAGATACCACCGTAGTGCATCAAAATGAAGTATCGAACAGCATCGACTCGCTGCACGGGGAATCGATAACGGTCGTACGTTCGAAGGAACCATGGGTAGTGCGTCTCGATAAAGTCGCGCGAGCTCTTCTCCGACCAAAGCTATATAGCGCGCAAAAGTCAGCCGCCGGCCGCAAACGATCATGAAGAGTGGGCGTGACCTACCTTGTAGTCCCAGTCCGGGTTCGCATCGGTGCACGTCTTGCGGACATGATCCCAATCCGACGGCAGCGTCTCGTTCCCAGGGTCCTTCCAGTTGTGGAAAACTTGATGAATGATCTTTGGGATCAACTGCGGTCGCGTTTCGTTTGCGCCGCCATAGGCCTCGGCGACTTGGGGTTGAGATATCGGGATTCCGGCGTGCTCGAGAAAGATCTGCTTGAAGACGAGGAGGCGCGAGATGCTGTACCCGAGCGTGGTCAACAATGCGATGCCCCAGAGGAGAACCGACAGTCGGACGGAAAAGCGCAGCATCGTGGGCGGCGCGATGGAGCTTGCGCAATCGCCGGTGGAATGATGGATGGGTTGGAGGGAAATTTGAAGGCTCGCGATCCCGCGATGGGGACCTTTTTCGCCAGCCCAAGCGCAGCGGCTAGAGCGAGACGGGATGGCCGCCGAGACTTCCCATCGATCCTCCTCCTCGCATTGGGCATTTTGGGGCTGGCACAGGGCTGACGGGTCAAAGTGGAGACGCGCCGTGCCACCCATTACTATGACGGTGGATAGTCAAAATGTGGACAAAATACAAAATCCACTTTTCGCGCACAGGCCTTTCGCTTGTACCTCGTTAAAAAGTGCAGCTACTGGTGCCAAGGCTCGCGTAAAGGGGGTTACCTCTTGCAATTGGCTCGCGTAAAAGGGGCCTCTTGCAATTGGCTGTACGTTACAGGGGTTCACCCCACGAAGGTTTTTCTTTTTTCGATTTTAATAAATAAAAAAATGAATAAAAAAATAAGAAAAACCAAAAAAAAAAAAAAAAAAATTAATTATTAGATGTTAATAAAACAATATTGTAAAAAAAAGTTTCGAAAAAAAAGATTTTATAAAATAAAATGAAAAATACTGAAAATATTTAAAAATTGTTAGAAAACAATTTAAATAGAATTTTAAAAAAAAAACATTTAAAAATCCTATGTTAATACTTAAAGTCGATATTATATAATAATATTTATTTATATTTTTAAATCAACCTTTCAGTGAGATGCAAGCTTTTAAAAGTTGTTATCACATTATTCGATTCGAAGGTACAAGCGAAGGGGCTCTAATTGGCGGTTGCAGGACCGTTGGAGGCCAGCCAAGCAGCTGGGCTGACTGCCAAAAGACGGATTACAAAGAACAAACCCCTTGAACCGCACTCAAAATTGCTCACCGGAAGTCATAGATTTTGCTCGTTCTCGAATAACTTCCGGGCACCGGGAAGTATGTCCAGCGGCCCATTTGAAGTACAGAGGGTTCGAGAGAAGTGAGGGGCAGCGGCTTCGTGCGAAAACATGACCCTCCAGCCACAGAGCCAACATCAACAATGCGATGACAGCACTTCAACGGGCCGTTGCAAGCCCAACTCCAAGATTTTAAGGTTTCCATGTTGCGTTGAAGAGGCCTCGTCAACGTTATGTGCGACGGCTTGACACGACGCATACGGGCCACAAGTTCAGGACTCCAAGTGTCAAGGTCATTCAGCACACTGTCCACATGGACCTCTTTCTCCGCCGCGCCTCAGATCGAACTTCGAACTTGTCAGGCCACCTGCCGCGCATGTCAAGCAAT